AACCTGTGAGCTAGAAAGCCCCTGGCTCACATACAAGGGAGTGAAGTTGTCTTGAAAAATATTTTGAAAAGTGGTTTCAAAACCCAAAAGTGCAAGACAACCAAAGTACAGAACAAGATACCAAAGCTAAAACAAAGACATCTATCTTTATATTATTGACTAGCAGCCAACCACTGCACCCTATAAACATTACCACCAGGATGGGCCCAATTTGAGCTCTCCCTGAACTGCAGCTGGACTGCCTGCCAGGTGATTGCCCTTGAGCAGGGACAGCTCTCAAGGTTAGAGAGGCCTTACCTGAGACTAAGATCCTTTCTTACCCAAGGCAGAGAGAATCGAGAGAACTCTTACCCACAAGGGATCCTTGGAAAGTGACTGATGGCATGCTGAATTAATATTATGAAACATTACTAATACATGTAGCTACTCAATATTATTATAAACACTGTATGGATCATTCCATTAGACAAACTGTTGACCAAGTCTGAGACTAAGATTGGATCCAGCCAAACCTAGGCTCCAAAATTTTAGAAAGCAAGGGGGTCCACTCTGAACCTCGTGACTCAACGGGAGGGTCCTCCTTACTCTTTGCATCTCTGGTCTCTGTGTGAATCATTCCAACTCAATTCAAACTCAATTTCCCTTTGTATGTTTCTTCCACATACTAATTAATAAGGTGAACCTTGCCATCAAACTTATTGAACCTTGTCAAACCACTGTTAAACTTCGTTAAATTCCATCAAACTTATTGAACTCTGTCAATTTATTATTTTACCTCAATAAAATCTATTGCTGCTTCTCTCTTTTGAGTGAGGTGCCATTCCACCCACCTGTGACAAGAGTGCACTCAGCTTTCCAAAGGAATGAACAGGAAACCAGAAGACAGGTAGGGGAACCAAGAGAAACAAGTGAAATGCACTAGACTGAGAAGGAATGCAACAGTTGTGTCAGTAATGGAATTAAAATCTTTCAATTCAGTTTTAGTCTTCGACCAAGCAGGAAACAAAAGCCGAGTACAGCCCAAGCTGCCAGTCTGTTCAATTCCAGACTGCAGGTTCACAGGTCCATTAAGGCTTCCAGCTTTTTTGCGGACACTCATTTCCGTTTAAGGTCAACTTATTCAGCAAAAATAGACTCAAAAATTGCAATTACTCCAAAAGTAAGCTGGAACTGATTTCACCAGCATAATTAGTAGGTGGACCTAAACCCAGTGATACTGATTTTAGTTCCTGCTCCAGTGATCTTAAAACAGAAGACTCTTGTGCATCAAGGAGCTAGTGATCTGCACACCAGTTGACCTGAATAGGTATAGGCCCACGCTCTACTATACTGATGACCTGAGACCACTGGACGAATGCAGCAGACTAATTGTGACAGAATATGCAGCCTCCACATGGCACCTGGCAATTACACGATTTGCATGTGATGTAATTTGCCTGGAGAAGGCTCCAGGAAGACCTCATTGCGGCCTTTCAATACTCAAAGTAGGTTTATAAGAAAGATGGGGACAGACTTTTTAGTAGGCCCTGTGGTGACAGGACAAGGGGTAACGGTTTTAAACTAAAAGAGGGTAGATTCAGACTAGGTACAAGGAAGAAATGTTTTGCGATGAGGGTGGTGAAACACTGGAAGAGGTTGCCCAGAGAGGTGGTAGATGCCCCATCCCTGGGAACATTCGAAGTCAGGCTGGACAGGGCTCTGAGCAACCTGATGTAGTTGAAGATGTCCCTGCTCACTGCAGAGGGGAGTTGGACTAGATGGCCTTTAAAGGGCCCGGCCCTTGCAAACCAAACTATGATTCTATGTCTCATATCTTGAAGTGAAGCAGCATGTTTTCATATAAACATCCTTGTGCTTGGCAGAGGAAATGATAAACAGAGTGCTTACTTCCAAGAACATCCTATAAAAGCTCTAAAGACTACAATGCTGGTGATCCCCACCACAGACAGGATTTGCACAGCTTGCCATGCCCCGATGTCTGGACAGCGCTGTACAACTCAGGGTTCCAGCAGCTGAACAGATGTAAAGTTATGTATGTCATCCGCTATTTTCCTTCTCCTATTATATCCAGTAAATGTTATTTTAATCAATACGTTAAGAGTCTGAGTGCCTTTCTTACTGGGATCTAAAATGAACACTTGCACTAGTGTGCTACACCTGTTCAGGTACTACTTTTCATAAATGTATCAATTATCAGATTGGGCTTTAGAATGATAAAATGGAAAGAAACAAAGACTTTAACTTCTTCCCACAAACAGACTACAGAAGAAAACCAAATCAGTAAGACAGACACTTGCAAAGATAAATACAATAGAAGTCAATTAAACACAGAAGCAGATAGAAAGCAGAAGAATACACTTAGGGGAAAAACAAAACCTCTTAGAAGTTTGAGGGTTTTTTGGATTTCAATAGTAAGCCAATAGATTATAACCTAAATCAAGATCTTCCACATGAAAAGTTAAGATCCTCACCAAATGAAAGGGTTGTGAAATATGGTCCCAAATAAAAACAATATCACTAATAAAAAAGCCACATAAGTCAGTATTCCCATAAATATCTTCCTATTCTCATATAACCTTATAAAACTTAACTAAAAAAATTAAAAGTATCTGATAAAGATACCTACATCCAAATGTTTTCAAAGCAATAATCAGGCAAGCTAGTAGCATAACTCCCTAGAGATCTCAGTATCACCTAATGGAATCCTTCATTCTAATTTCTGATTCATCAAACAGCAGCATATGAATGGATCCTTGGATTGCTTTAATTACTAACTTGCAAACCCATACATTATCTTGCATATACATGCAATAAGAAGCAAGGTTCAGAGACTCATTTCTAAAATATAGCCAAAACTGGCTCCAAGAAGGGCAGCTACAATACCAGCTATTTGTAGTCACCTTTAGTAATTTCTGAAATGACTAAAACAAAATGACAAAGATACACCATCCACATACATCACAGCAGTAAAACTTGACATGTTGCCTCATCACATTAAAGACCTACTACAGTCAAGTTCATTCACTGAGATTCAGTAGAGAGTGAGAGTTTACCACAATATCAGAACTGATCTTGTAAATTCTTACCACTTGCAGGAGCTCCAATTCTGAACAGTTTTTGGTACTTACACTTGAAATCATTAAAATTTACCATCATAGCTAGGACTATTTAAAGGTTAAGATGACAGCTGGAGCAGGGTCCCTGTCTTCTGGGAAGCCAAGAACCTTCCCTCCCCAACTTCTGTTGTTTACACCAAAAGTATTCCAAGACCTAACTGATCAGGAGATCCAAACCATGATGCAGTACTGCCTCTCAATTTTTGCTCAAATGTAGCCCATGATTTGGTGGCCCAAAGTAATCTGGTATGCTCCATCTGAATCGGAACAGATAGAGAGGCAAAGCAATCCATGTGTTCTCAGTGAAAATCCTTTCAGGAAAAGGTTAAAGCAAATTAGTACCTTCAAAACAATTTGAGGTACTCGGTAGTACACTCGTCTTTAAGATAATTTACACAGATGTTATACTAAGTTAAACATGTCATGTTTTGCCATTGGTAACCTAACTTGGTAAAGCTTGGTTTAATTATTCAATTTCCATAGTTTTAAAAAACAGAGAAAACAGAGGATTTTCAAAAGAGAGGATACGGTTGGACTCAATCTTAAGGGTCTTTTCCAACCTAAATGGATCTATGATTCTGGAAGAGTTTTGGACTTAAGGGGCACCCTTGAAAACTGCTAAACAGCAGGGACAAATGTAGATTGGTCTATCCTGTTAGGAAGCCTTAGAGAGAATTAAAGTGATGGGGAAGCACTTTTCAGGCTTTGTTTTGCTGCACTGCAACCAACAGTCCTATCCAGGAGCAGGTTTGTAAAGCGGGTTGGCAGACATGCAGTTTTCTCTCTGCCACTAATATGGCAAATTGTGCAAAATTCAAGATTTAACAGTCTTCCTATCAGTAGCATTTCTTGATATTGACTAACCACTGAAAACATAGCTAAACGATTCATAAATGAATACTGATTTTCTGTACTGTGAATCACTACTATTGTTGGTAAGTTTTGTTCACCTTCATTTAGAAATAGCATAAAATAACCAGCTTAAAGTGTAGACTTTTTAAAAGCACTGAACCATGCACATGTTCCCCAAGCACCAATGAAGTGTTTTACATACAGTGCAAATGAACATGCATCAGATTCCAGGTAAACCAGACAAAATAAGCCAGAGCATGTCACTACAGCATCATCCAGCAGCAGCTGTGCTCTGCTGGCTTATAGCTATTGCAAAGTTGGTTAAATCAACAGAGAAACAGAACTGTTTAGCCTTTAGGAGAGAGCAGGTCAAACTGTTCCCAGAACACTGCACTACTCAGGTTGTGAACACTGATTATCTCTCTGGGCAGCACGGAGTGACAGCTCTAACCAAGTACTGCTGAGACACAAAGTGGGCACCGCTTTGCCCAAAGGAAAAAGCAAAGGCTGTGGAAGTGCCTTTCTTCAACAGTGTACCCTCAAAAAATAACAAGTCTCTTCCTACCAGTGAGTAGTATTTCTTCTGAGGTTTCTAATTTTTTACCCTAACCTCTGTAAATCTCACCACACCTACCTACCCAATAAGTGGCTCGCCCTGAATCTGACTAATGGCACTTTAAGACTATGGTGGAAAGCCCATTACAGTGCAAAATCTTATTTGTTTTCCACTTACAGCCAGAATAAACTGTTTCAGCAGGCTATCTAGCATATGAAGTTACATGACTGACAAAGCAGCAGATTTTTCTCTGCAAAGTATACCACAAAACAAAAAGATGAATTAAAAAAAGATTGGTATTAATATGGTAAATAAAAAACCCCATCAGTCTGTAAGTGCCTAGACACTGACAAACATGCACACTGACTTGTGAGAGATATATATTAGATATAGTTTATATACATATAAGACATCTACCCCTTAAATGCAGCGTGCCAGTGTCTAGAAGTCAGCCTTGGCCCACAGGCAAGCTCCAGGTCACAAGTTTAACTCTAAACTGCAACTGAGGTTTTGCTCTTAAATTACTGACTTTCTTTGGAACACAGCACACGATCCCGATACAGATGCAGCTGTTTTGATGTCAGCATTCAAGTGCCAAACCTTGGACCGTAAAACAGATTTATAAAATAACTGTAAACTTTGTGGCATCCAAAGGAAGCCCCAAAAGGCCTGGACCAAATAGTAGGCCCAGACACAAGCAATAGAAGTAGTATTGCCTTTAATGACAATCAGTACTTACACAGACAGCAATGCAAGATGCGAGTGATCAATTCTGCCAAACCTGACTCAAGCAGAGCACCTGTGGAGCTCATCATTTTTGCTCTGGGCTTGCACACGCAATGTAAAGACAATTCCACTCATGCTATCCAGCATAGGCAACTTGCAGAGGTTCTCACAGGGTGGGTTTTTTTTGTTTGTTCGTTTTTCACTAGCAAGTTGCTACCCCTGTACGATGTTACAACACTTTTCCTGTTCTTCCTTACCATTCATTAAGACCTGTAGCCTTCTCCAACGGGAAGTCCCTGTTGCCCCCTAAATATTCTTCAAGGTATAAAACTTTCAGATAACAAAACTAACGGTTCATTCACTCAGTTAAGCCACACACACATCCTTGTTTGTGTCACTCCCCTCGCAATCCCCTCATATCAGTTCCTCAAAAGGCAGCTTTCCAAATTGTAGGCAGTGATAAGTGCCTGGGGCCCCTGCTGTCACCCTGTGCTGGTACTGCCAAGGCCCCTGCTACAGCCTTACCTGTCTGCTCTGCGGACACTGTACAGGGGCTACCAGCAGCCCACTCTGCAGTTAAGGCTTTCTTAGAATATGTGCACAGAATGTCTTCTCAACTACTGTTCTCAATACCTAGTTATGACAACGGAAATCGCAGTTACCAAGCATGCTTAAATTTGTTTGATTCTCTTCAGGTTCTAGTAACCCCTAGCGAGAGAAAGGCTTTACTGATAAGAGTATTTTAACTATCAGCTCATACTGCTCTCATCTCCTAGAACGAATTTAACAGGGTCACACATTTGACTCCTAAAAATGCAAAAATAATTTTCTTAAGATTTTGCAACTGCT